GACCCAAATATAGTGTAAAATATACCCGGGTTAGTGAGAGAGAGAGAGGGACTGGATATGACCCAAATATAGCGTAAAATATACCCGGGTTAGGGGGGGAGAGAGGGACTGGATATATATACCCTGAATATCACTAAATACATCCAAGATAGTATGCCCTAAATATTATACAAAATACAGTAAATGTACCCAAAAGAGTGCACCCTGAATATCACCTAAATAATTCCTAAATCATAAGATAGACCATAAATGCACTCTTAATTTACCCAAGATGAATGCAACCTGATTTAACCTTGAAAATAACCTGCATACCATAAGTTAACATGAGATTGATGCATTTTTAAAATTCCAAATATACCATAAATGGATTCTAAATATACTATTAAAAATTACAAATATCCCACATAACCATAAATAATCCCACAACCATAAAGTTGATAAATATCTTAAACTTAAATGTACTGTAAATTTATCCTAAAATTAATCTAATCTTGATATGCCCAAATGTACCATAAATAAACCCTAAAATAAACCTTATATTTACCTATACATATAAAGAAAGTTCTATATATAAAATTATAGTTAACCATTCATATCCCAAACACACGTTCTGCATAACAAATAAGGTCTGTAACCCTCTGGTGACCTTTTTGTGTGTGCTGTAAAATGGTTTTATTCTGACTGATCCTTATAAATCTCTTACTGTGGAAGTAAGTGTTTGCTGCTTTCCTGGTGTCCATGGGTAAACATTGAAAGGCTCGGATCCCACCATCAGAAGGAAGGACTGTATCAGTACTGAGAGCCTCAGCTCCTTGAAACTGGGTGAAATTGTGGGCACCACACCTCAGGAAGGAAATATTGCTTGGAGGGCCTGTAACTAAATTTCACTTGAATAATACCTCTGCTAAAAGGGTTCAGTTATGAGGACTAGTTGTATAGATTTGGTCTGTAGTTGCTTGAGTTTAGAAGTTTGGCTCATCTGAATGAGATCTTTAAGTTCAAAGCTGGAGTGGATTTATATATAAGAATTTAATCTTTTTTTTCTCAACGGTGTGTCACTATCGACGTGACTCTTAAAGTAGAGCTGAGGTTGTGCTGCATTTGTTAAAGTCACTTGTTTCTGCCAACAGGAGCATGGGAAATCCATTTCCACGTTGGAAGGGATGGGTTTTCGGGCAGGACAAGGTTTAATTGAGAGGTTAGTGACCCATATGCCTCCGAGACCTGCTGACATTACATTACAGTGCAGTAGAGACAGTAATAGTGGCTCTGAAAAGACCTGGTAAGACCATCCTGTCTCCCTGCTGTGCGGTGCACTTTAATCAGACCTGCCTCAGATTTACTGGTGCAGAGAATTTCACTCTTGTTCACTCTTGCTGGTATAACTCTCTCTTGTTACCTAACCACAATTTTAGGAGGTGTTCAGCCTCACAAGAAACACCGTCATTGACCTTAGTATTATGTATTGATGCAATGAATGGACAGAACAGGGTGATGGGTGCCTGGAACACACTGCCAGTGGAGGCGGTGGAAGCAGGCATGTTAGCAACATTCAAGACGTATCTTGATCGACACATAAACGAGTGCACACAGAGGGATAGAAGCTGTGCATAGGCAATAAGTAGTAGGTCTAAGTAGGGTGCAGGCTTGATGGGCCAAAGGATCTGTTCATGTGGTGTATTGAATTGAATTGAACATTAGTTTAATGTGATGTATCTTTTTGTTGTGACGTTTGTTTGCAGTCATTTTATTTTCTGATAAATATGACACAAAGCTTGTGGCCTGAATTACACCATTTTATGGATTATTGTCAGTCAGCAGCCATTGCATAATTCCTGCTCCTGGTGTGTATGGTGATTCTGTGCAGGTTCATATTACCGGCCCCATCTTGTCCTTCCCACGAAATTACATTCAAATCTTGTCTCCCTTTTGTGGAGAATGTCTTTCCGTCCTAGTTACAAAGGCTTCCAGCAATGAGCAGCGCCAATCTACAGAATGACTATATGGCCGAGACTTGAATCCTAACTCTTCAAGATTTAAAAAAAAATCAACATTAACCCGAAGACACTACTGACATCAGGCAGGGTCACCCAAGTCAGTGACTGAGCCATCAGAACAAAATGATCCCAGGTTTAATGCTGAATCAGCTGATTTCTGAGTTGCAGTTGAACACTTGGTAATTTCTAATAAGCCAGTCAGAATAGCTGTTGCTTCTGATGGGTGTTGCAGGATCCCTGGTACATAATTCATATGTGCTGTATTAGTTCGATAAGTGCCTGAGTTTTCTGCACTCCTGTAATGGTGATTTCTTGCGTACCCCCTGTTTTGATCCCATTTTCAGTGACAGTCGCACCATCAGTTGTATGAGCCCTAAGCTATGGAATTACCTCTTTTAAAACTCACTCTATCTCTACCTGATCTCACTGAAGACATGCCTTAGAACCTACTTACTTGACCAAGTTTTGTTCATACATCCTTAGGTGACTTGGCTGCCATTTCTTTTATTCTGTCACGGGGCATGGGTGTCATTGGCTAAGTTGGCATTTATTTCCTATGCCCAGTTGCCCTGGAGTAGATGGTTATGAGCTACATTCTTAAACCACTACAGTCCTTGAAGAATAGAGGTGCCCATACTGCAATTCAGTGAGGATACTGTAGTGCATTTTCTAGATGTTACCTGACGCTGCTACTGTTTGTTGGCAGTGAAGGGAATGATGTGAAAGATAGTGTATGTGGTGCTGATCAAGTGGAATGCTTTATCCTGGATGATGATCTTGAGTTTTGTTGGAGCTGCACTTGCCCAGGCAAGTGGGGAAAATTCCAACACACTCCTGATTGTGCATTGTAGATGATAGACAGCATTGAGGAGTCAACAGAGTGGGTTACTTGCCATAGAACTGCCAGCCTCTGACCTGCTGGTGTAGCCACTGTATTTATATAGCTGCTCCGATGCAGTTTCTGGTCCGTGCTAACCCCCTGGATATTTAGTGCACAATTCATTGGAGGTAATGCTGTTGATCACTAAAGCGTGATAGCCACTTCTCAGCCCAAGCCTGGATGTTATCAAGGTCTTGCTGCATATTTATATGAGCTGCTTCAGTATCTTCACTACAGTGAGGAGACTTCAAATGTTCACTGTTATCTGCATGCGGGTTATTGTTGTAGATTCACCAAAGAGACACCATCCTTCAAAGATGAGCTGGACATTATGAAATTTATCTGTAAGGAATTCTGGACCAACCTCTTCAGGAAACAGATTGACAATCTGCGAACAAACCACCAGGTGAGTAGAGCCTCACACAAAACCTTTATTCCAATGTTAGCTGGAGAAGGACGGTTATCAAGAGGGAGTTGATTTGTCATAGGATAGGGTTTATATGGGGTTGTCACACCCCCATTGGGGAATAAGCATTTTATAAAGAGAGGGTTTAGTCTTTTCAGGAGTGAAGCACTTTCTAAATGGAGGGGATGAGGAGGAATGAGGGGCTTTTTGCCAACACATTGGGTGAAGTGAATCTGGATGGCATTTCTTTTTTATTTTATTCATTCGCGGATGTGGGCAACGTGGTTGACTTTTAACTGTCCTCTTGCTCATCCCTAATTGCTAAGAGGACAGTTAAGAGTCAACCACATTGCTGTGGGTCTAGAGTCGCATGTAGGCCAGATCAGATAAGAATAGCAGTTTCCTTCCCTAAACGACATTAGTGAACTAGATGGTTTTTTTTTTCCTCTTTATTTCACTCTCAGGGAACCTACGTACTTCAGGACAATCGTTTTCGGCTCCTCACTCCAGTCTCCAACGGGAAGCAATACTTGGAGGAAGCACCAAAGGTATCCACCCCCTTGATAGCTGTTCCCTTTGCTAAATAGAAAGTATGCTTCATTAATGCAGATTGCCCCTCTGTCTACATAATAGTGACCATGAAACTTAGACTTCACTGGCAAGAGTGCACCAATAATGCCTCGCTGCTCCACAAATTGTCACAAAATTTACCAAAATCCCAGTTAAACCACTAGGGTGACCAATTTGCCTGCCTGACTGCTGTTTAGGACAAAAGCAATTCATACCAGGTTTCATGAGTAACATAAAATAATTCTTTATTGTAACATAACTAACAAAAGACAAAGGAAAAGATTTCTAATCCATTATTAAGTGCCTTAAACTATACTACTTCAAAAAACCTGAACGTGCACGCACTCCTTCATGACTAAGGGAAATGACAGATGGTCTGACGGAGATATTATGGTTGATGAAAGAATATAGGTAGGATAAACAAAATTCTGAAGATCAAAAGTCCAGCTCTCAAGGATGGGTTAAATTATCTCAAGGTTTCTTTTGATCTTGGCACTGGTGACATGCTGTTCTGTATAAAGTGACGGTTGCCCTTCAATAAGTCACAAGCCATTTGGGAAAAACGTACAAGTCGGTTCAAGTGTAATCAGGGATGGGCCTTACCAGTGATGCCAACATTCCCTGAGTGAACAAAAAAAATCACTGCGAGTGTTGCAATGGTCAGGAAACGGTCCTTCACAGGACCTGTTAAGTTGATGCTCCATCTGTTTAATGATGTTGAAACTCTCTTGGTGATATTGGAAGATAAGGTTTCAGTGAGCTACCCAATACTTCCTCCATCATGCAAAAAGATTAAATGAACACTACCTTATTTGCTGCAACATTCACTCACAAAACAATAATCATTTCAAAAACAAGGTGAAAATTATTGCAGGGAGGGTGCAATGTGATTAGACATCTGTGCTTGCTAATTATATTCTGAATGCCTGTGTTTCTTTTTAAGTTCCTAGCGTTCACCTGTGGGCTTGTAAGAGGGGCTTTATCCAACCTGGGCATTGACAGCACAGTCACCGCGGAAGTTTCAGTAATGCCAGCATGTAAGTGGGTTTGGACCGGATGGGAGAGGTTACACTGATTAATGTTCCTATCCCACCGTTCTCTTCCATCTTTCACAACCTGGAGCACAGCCTCACTTAAAAACCTGGCCTGAACACTGCCCCATTAAGGCATTAGTCAGGGTCTGTGATTTCCTCCACACTGTGGTGGAACAGGGGGTCTGGGTCTGTGATTCCCTATGTGGTAACAGGACAAGGGTCCATGATTTCCATACATAGTGATGGGACATTAGTCTGTGTCTAATTCCCTCTCAAGGTGACAGGACGTGGACCTGTGTCTGCAATGCCCACCCTGCACGGTGAACTCCCTAATTCATTTCTACCTGTCTGTGCTGTCACAGATGTATACTGAACACTCCTCCTTGAGAAAGTAAACTATGGTTGATAGTTCTATGGTAATAGTACCCTTTCACAGTTGATAGATAAGTCATGTCGTTGGTAACTGGTTTGACGTTGTTCGCATCAGGAACAATGGTCATCGTGCACCCTGGATTACTGCTGCCTCCCTTTTGCTATAAAATCAGCAGGAAGCCCACTCCTATCACCAGACTGCAGCCTTTAGGACAAGGCCAGAAGGGCGGAGATCCCTTCACAATGATAATTACATATGAATTTAAAAAGAAAGAAAAGAGAAAAGGAATTGTTCAAACAGGGTAATTCCAGGTTGCAAGCACGCAAAGACTGAGCAACAGTGAGCCCTTGGTTGTGAAATATTTTTGTGATGTGGTGTATAAAGCCTGCAGGATCTGGGGACCCGCAGAAATCTCCAGCAACACTAGGTGGTGCTCTCACCTACAACAATCGTATATTTTCTTCATCCCTTTAGCCTCCTCCTCTTTAGCTGCTGAGGATTGCAGTGAACATATATCTAATATCATCATCCATTTTGTTCACCTTCACATCCTATCCCTGCCTACCCGGCTCCCTGAGATTAAACTGTCTCGCAGTATCCCTTCCAGACGCCTTCGTGTGTGAGCTATGACCAGCAATCATTGGTGTCAACCATGGGATCTCATGCAGAGTTGCCCTAATGCTGTCCTCACCTGGTATCTGTGCAAGCTAAAACGCTATCCATCAGACTAGTGCGGCCCACTCATTTTCTGCACCCAGTGTCTTTCTTGCACTCCCTGTCTCCCTCCTTCTTTGTGCAAACATTTAAAAAAAGCAGCATGGTGGCTCAGTGGTTAGCACTGCTGCCTCACAGTGCCAGGGACGCAGGTTCAATTCCACCCTGCGGTGACTGTCTGTGTGGAGTTTGCACATTCTACCCATTTCTGCGTGGGTTTCCTCTGGGTGCTCTATTTTCCTCCCACAGTCCAAAGATGTGCAGGCTAGGTGGATTGGCCATGCTAAATTGCCTATAGTGCCCAGGGATGTTTAGGTTAGGTGGGTTTGACATGGGAAATGCGGGGTTAGGGAATGGGTCTGGGTGGGATGCTCTTCGGTGGAGCGGTGCGGACTTGTTGGGCCAAATGGCCTGTTTCCATACTGTAGGGATTCTATGATCTGTGATCTAAAAGGGAGCAGGCCATTTATGCCCTCGAGCGTATTGTGACATTGAATGATATCATGGCTGATCAGATTGCAACCTGAAATCCTTGCTCCCAGTGATCCCATTTCATTCCCTACTTTTGCTTAATATCCAGCTTCTATGACTTTATTTCCTTTGAATTTCAGGTAAATTTCACATTATAATGCAAAAATCTTAGAACTGTGATGTCCACGTTGGTGTTCAAGGAATGCAGAGGTGACAGTGAAGCTGAAACTTCGATAGAAAGGAGAAGTTGTGCCTTGCTATTTGTTTTGTTATTATGTGTTCCAGGAGATGCATTAATTGTTTCTCAATGCATTAGTGATGGGGATTAAAATCAGCCAAAGTTTCTGAACTGGTGAAGGTATCTCAATAAGCACTGGGCACTCACTCGGAGTTGTCACGTTTGGGATAACCCTGAAATTGCAGCGAGTTACTGAAGTATAATTCTCACGGGCAATTTTTCCTGAGCATTCATTCTCCGATGTCTCAGCCTCTTCCTTGTCTTTGTCCACCCCTCTCACCCCACCACCTATTTATACACCAATGGGGCAATACTAATGGAAGATCTGCCTCCACTGGATTCCAAAAGATGGAATTTCTTTCCCATGTGTTTGGACACCCCCATTGCTTTTCCTTTCCAAAATATACTGACAGTCCCTCTTTGTTATGTTTGGAATTCTCTCTCTAATCAGTTAAAACACGTGAGGTGGAGTCTATTATAGTTTCTAGGATTCTGTGAATGCCATCTTGATGCTTCATAGCAAGATATGGGAATAGCCTCAGACACTCTAGTTGTGTTCTGACGGCAGTAACGCGTGACATTTTTTTATGTGATCTCCTCAAGCAGTTGGGAGACTGGCTTACAGCAGGTCTGAGGCCATCAGGTTAGGCACAACTGTGCACAGCAGAGAGGATCACAGCTAGGGTCATTTTGTTTGGCCACTGTCCTTATAACTTGGCCCTGCTTTTCATCATTGATGTAGCATGTTGAAAAGTCAGGAAAGCAACAGGACCTCAATCTACACTGCTGAGGTGCAGTGTTCGAGGTTTTAAACCAAAAAATGGTCAAAACCAAAAAAGGGAACTGTTAGTAACTCAAGGAACCAAAGGAGCTCAAATACTTTACTTATTTTCTTTTTTCATTGTGTGAATGTTTTACTCAATGCCAATGGCTCTTCACCACCCACTACGATTCTGTCTTGTCTGATGTTCACTGGAAGCGGTCGCTGTATGAGTTCATGCACAAGCCAAATTTCTGATTAAAATGCATCTCAACAAAGTGAGCCACAGATTGTTGTGAATGATTTATTGTACAAGTGAAAAAAAAATTGCAACTCTCAAATGATTTGGAGACTCGAATTAAGAATGATGTCTTTATTTATTTGGAATTTCTCATTACATTGATCAACAGAGCAAGATCCCATGATCAATGATGTTATGAATGAGTGAATTGATTACAAGAACAAAGTTGCTGGAAAAGCTCAGCAGGTCTGGCAGCATCTGTGAAGGAGAAAACAGTTAACGTTTCGGGTCCGATGACCCTTCCTCAGAACTGAGTGAATTGTTTGGTGGTGGTTGAAGGGGAATGACTGCCAGGACACAGGAAATGCCTTTCTTGTTGAACAGCACTATTGAATTTTTAACACAGAACACCCATCCCAACAGTGCAGCGCTTCCTCAACACCAACCGTCTGACAGTGCGGCACACTCTTAGTTTTACTCCAACTGTGACCCTGTCTGATCTTGGGTGTTCTGTCCTTACTTAGCTAACAGTTCACCAGTGATCGAATTGTCCACCTTGCTCACGCAAGAAGAGAGGCCACTTTCGTTCAAAGTGTTGCATAGAATGGATTAGTGCATTCAGCAGAAGACAAGGGACAATGGTAGGTTCAGAAATTATTTGACAAGTAGACAAACATTTTCTTTATGCATTAATGAATGTAGGTGTTGCTGGTAAGGACAGCATTTATTGCCTAGTTGCAATTGCTTGCTTGGGCATTTAACAGGCCAGTTCAGATTCAACCCCATTTTGGAAAACTTAAAAAAAAAAAACAAAAACAGAAATTGCTGGAAAAGCTCAGCAGCTCTGGCAGCATCTATGGAGAGAAATCAGAATTAACGTTTCAGGTCGCATGACCATTCCTTCTGATGCTGCCAGACCTGCTGAGCTTTTCCAGCAATTTCCATTTTTGCTTTGGATCTGGAATCCTGTCAAGGTCAGACCAAGCAAGGATGGTAGATTTCCTTCCTGAAGGGCATTAGTGAACTACATGGACTTTTACAATAATCAATGATACTTCCGTGATCACCAAAATTGGGAGCTTCCAATTCCAGATTTTTATTGAATGAATTTAAATACCACCTTCTGCCATGGTGAGATTTGAGCCATGGTGAGATTTGAACCATGGGGCATGAGCCTGGACCCCTGGTCTATGAGTCCAATCACATTACCACTGTCTCAAATATTTAGAAGTCTGCTTCTGTTACTTATTTCCTCATATTCTTCAACACTATCTTATGAAGAAAGATTTAGTGATATTTTCCAACAAGCAAAATAAATCAATCAGGTTAGTGGAGGTATGGTATGTGTCACTGCCATGGAATGTCTGAATTAATTTTGTTAGCTCTTGGTAATGCAAAAGCTAATCTGTATCTGCAATCTGTACCTTCTTATTCTATAACATGCTTACAATAGGCAAAGCAAAGATTATGGGCTTGATTTTCATGGCATTTGGAAGACAACAGATCTTTTAAAAATTCTTGGCAGGACCCAGATAAAGAAGACCTGGCCCTATTTCCAGCGGATCTATTGTATTGGTGGGAAAAAGGGTGTGATTGACCTGTGGGAAATCCAGACTCAGCGGAGCTGTTTGGATTTAGTTCTGAGCACAAACAGATCCCGTTTTGACTGCTGCAAGTTCCTTAGCCTGTTGTGAGAGAGTCATAAATTTATGGCATTGATGCAAATGCTCTTGAGGGATGGACATAGTCTGTATATTGTTTTAAATTTGAATTTTTAAAAAACATTCCACTCTTTAACCTTTAAATTAAAGAGCAGGCTTCATTTATCTATTAGGGTTCTGGAAAGATAAATCCTGTAGTAAACGATGATTAGCAGGTTAGAAAGAAATTTATCCATTCGTGCAATTTCAATATAGTTCATACTTGGCATTCCCCAAGTGCTGGCAGTATTTCACTATGAATGTTTGGCTGTACTTCAAAAGCTATAAGTATCTCAGTTGTCGATCTGATATCACTTTAAAGTTTAAAGGGGCTATTAAAGGATTAACTGCCCTTGATGTGGGGCCTGAATAGAAATTTGATTTTTTTTAAGAGATTAACCATTGGCATTTAAAAGCTTTGAAAAGATTTTATGAATGAGAGTTTTTATTTTACTATTGTGTATTGGAATGAGAGCAGTCCTAGATTGTTATAGACTTTGTTTTTCATCTTCACATGGCTTCGGAGGTAAGCCGATGGTGACTACTGGGTTAATTACCGAGGGCATGATAGGCCAGGAGGTTGGGTGGATGGGAGCTCGGGAGGGAGTCATGAGTTAGTATAGGGGATATAAGGGGAAAGGGGCATGAGGGGTTATGACTAGAGGGCCTAACACCTTCTAGGACAAAGTCCTAGTGAATGGAGGTGACGTTTCTAACCAGTCTGTTTGAAACCCAGTCTTCGTATGACTGCCCACACTCTACGACCATGTCAGTGGGTCAGATTCAATCCCTCTCTTAAGGCCAGCTTGATTGAATATGATGAAACTATTACTATACAAGCTGTCTTGAAAAGTCTGTTAAAGGGAACAGAAGGAAGATATTGTTGCTACATCCTGATTTGTTTGATTATTGCTTCACTTAATTGAACCTTAAGGCTTTTGACCAGTTTTCTTTTTGCAGAGAATTCAACCCTGATTCTTTCAGAACCTCAGCATTTCTACTGCTTAATTTTAAATGCATTTGTGTATCACATCAGTGGCATCTCCAAGTGCTTTGGATCAAATTAATTACTTGGAATTGTAGTGACTTATTATTTAGCTAAAGACTGAGATGGGTTGGATTTGGCTATTATTCTTTCTTAATTTTCTTGGTAATACTATGCAGGCCAAGTCCTCTGGCCACTGCAGCAGCTATTTCACACAGTGATCATGAATGATTAATGAATATTTAGGTTATTTTTGGCATTACTGAAGACATAATTTGCTTTATTTATTCAGGGGGTATAGGTGTTGTTGGATGAGCCAACATTTATTGCCCATCTCCTATTACCCTTGAGAAGGTGGTGGTGACGATAATATAACTCTCCCCGTCAATTATGACAGCAGGATATTCAGCATTCACCTGAACCACCAGAACCTCCACTTTCGACCACCTTCAAACAATGGGAATCCCAACAATGCCACCACACTGCACAGCCATGTAAACTCTGATTATCTCCTTCAATTCTGAAGCTAGGTTTAATTTGCAGTAAGTTGAGAATCCAAAGGAAGGGCCACCTCCTAGGATTTGGTCACTGACAAAGCTGGTAAGGGCTGCTCAACATTACAGAATTTTGTTGTTTTAGATGTGATAGAGAGGAAAGTAAAAGAGGTGGAAGAGTTGCATTACTAATCAGGGAGAATGAATGTTACACCTACACTCAGGACACGCTGGAGGGCTCATCTGCTAAGGCAAGATGGGTGGAGCTCAAAAATAAGATGGGTGCAAGCATGCTGAAAGGATTATACTATAGGCCCTACAACAGCCACTGAGACATTGAGGAACAAATATGGAGGCAGATTATGGAAAGGTGCAATAAAAACAGAGTTGTCATAGTGGGTGACTTTAAATTTCCCAATACTGACTGGGGCTCCGTTACAACAAGAGGCTTAGGCGGGGAAGAATTTGTTAAGTGCAGGGTTTCTTGAAACAGTATGTGGATAGGCCAACTAGAGGAGGGGCCATACTGGACCTTGTGCTAGTTAATGATCCTGGCCAGGTGACTGATCTTTCAGTGGGAGAGCATTTTGGTAACAGTGATCACAACTCCTTAAGTTTTAAGATAGCTATGAACAAGGATATGTCAGGACCTTGTGGGAAGGTACTAAATTGGGTGAGGGCAAATTACGTCAGTATTAAGTAAGAGCTAGGCAGTGTTAATTGGGAGGAGCTGTTATCAAGCAAGTCCATGTTTGATACATGGGAACTGTTAAAGATCTGCTGGGGAGAGTTCAAGACTGGCATGTTTCAGTAAGGAGGAAGGTCAAGGGTGGCAAGGCAAGGGACCTTTGGATAACGAGGGAGGTTGTGAATTTAGTCAAAAGGAAAAAAGAAGCATATGTAAGGTTTAGGAAGCTAAAATCAGACAGGGCCCGTGAGGAATATAAGGAAAGCAGGAAATAACTCAAGCAGGGAATTAGGAGAGCAAGAAGAGGCCATGAAATGACCTTGGCAAGTAGAGTTAAAGAGAATCCCAAGTAATCTATTGATACATTAAAAACGAGTGTAACTAGGGAGAAGGAGGATCACTTGAAGGAGGGAATTTGTGCTTGAAGGCAGAGAATGTGGGCAAGATCCTAAATGAGTACTTTGTATCAGTATTCACCCAGGAAAAGGATACGGAGGATAGTGAAATTTGTGTGGAGTGTGCTAATATGCTCGGGCATTTTGAGATCATGAAAGAAGTGGTGTTGGATCTCTTGAAGAGCATTAAGGTGGATAAGTCCCCAGGGCCCGATGGTATCTAGTCCAGGTTATTGAGAAAGGAGATTGCTGGGGCCTTGACCAAGATCTTTGTATCCTCACTAGCCACTGGAGAGGTCCCGGAGGACTGGCGAGTAGCTAATTTTCCTCTGTTCAAGAAGGAAAATAGGGATAATCCAGGAAACTACAGACAAGTAAGTCTCACATCGGTGGTTGGGAAGCTATTGGAGAGAATTCTTACAGATAGGATTTATGCACATTTGGAAAAGCATGGCCTAATTAGGGACAGTCAGCATAGCTTTGGCAGGGCAGGTCATGTCTTACTAACTTGACTGAATTTTTTGAGGAAGTGATGAAGATGATTGAGGGTAGAGCAGTGGATGTTGTTTACATGGATTTTAGTACAAGTTTTTGACAAGGTTCGTCATGGTAGGCTCATCCAGAAGATTAAGATGCATGAGATACATGGTGACTTGGCTGTGTGGATTCAGAATTGGTTTGCCCATAGAAGACAGAGGGTAGTGTGGAAGGGTGTTTTTCTGGCTGGAGGTCCATGACTAGCGGTGTTCCGCAGGGATCTGTACTGGGACCTCTGCTGT